ATTTTTTTCAGATATTTAAAAATGATCATTGGCTTCCATAAGAGTTACAAGAAACATTTATGTCAGTATAGGGGTTGTGGATATTATTAAGCTTTTTATTGAGATCATGAACCTATTAATGTTAGACCACCGTTGGAAACTTGGAAGCACTGAACGGCCGTTTCGTCCTATCGTGGGACTCCTCAGCAATGCCAATCCACGATCCCGCTCGCGGGATTCGAACCTAGGGCCTTCAGTTTCGCGCGCGAACGCTTAACCTACTGGACCACTGAGCCGGCATTCAATGATGTAAATGTCTACTCTCAACCAACTCACGAAATTGCGCGACCGTCTTCCATTGTACTGAGGTAGATACCTGTCTCTACTCGACACGGATTAGCTCCACCGGTCACGGCTTCTAACTAAAACTCCGAGAATCCCGTCACGAAGCTAGCTAGTGGGTTCGAAGCTCGCGAGCGGGATCGTGGTTGTGCACTGCTAAGGAGTCCCACAATAAGACGAAACGGCCTTTCAGTTCTTCCAGGTTTTCAATGGCGGTCTAACATAAATCGGTCCATGATCCTAATCAAAAACATTTATATATTCGATATTTTCAACTAGTTTTAACAAAGTTATCGTACGACAATGGTAACCTAAATTTACTTCTGATTACATAATCTAAATGTAAATTCACTACTCTATTTCAATAGATTTCGAAATTATAAACAATAGTTCTCATCGATATATAACCAATAAATTAGTTTTTTTTTCATTTTTTTCAAGACATTGTTAGTATAAAATTAATCTAGTGACTTTCAGTTGTAAAATACAGTCACTCATATTGCAAATGCATTTAATAAGAGATATGTAAAAATTGATAAAATCAAAAGAAAATAACCAAAATAGCTCGAGATTTTCAAAGTAAGAAGAAATTAAGTTATTTATTGAAACTACATATATATGTTTTACCACTTTGAGAGAAATATATAAAATATTATAGCTCTAGGAAATTGTGTACATAATTCGACAATGCAATGAGATAAGGAAGACTATCAGAATTATGTGATATATTTGCACAATACATTTGAACTATCCGATCATACATATACTTGTTAAGATATTATATATGAAAAATAAAAGGTTAACTAGATGAAATGAAAGGTAAATAAAAATAATCAAAAAAATACACAAAAAACAATGTGAAAACCACTGTGTATAATAAAATTTCCACTAAAATAAGGACTTGTCAGATTACAGTTTTAGTATGTATATACTTTATTTTTTTATACTTAAATGGTGTCTTAATCCTGAACCTTTATGAATTGTTTAGGTCCATGAATAAGATGGTGGTTGGAGGTAGTCAACAGGAAACTCTGGACCGAGTTCCGTGCTACTTGTCACTCGTCAGCAAGGTGTACCTGTAATCTCACCCAGCTTCACAGTCAGAGGTGTTACCACTGAGCTATCCGGGCTGCAACCTACCTCCTGTAGGACTGAAATGTAGTTACAATTTATTCATCACTGGGTGTTGATCAATTTCATGTGTGTCAAGTTCTTCTTAGTGAGGATCGAATGCTATCGACCAAGTTGTAATGTGGCCACTAGTCTAGGTGACTCAACATTGCGTGCACTATGTTGAGATATGATGGTGGTTAGAGGTAATCATGAATAGTTTACTGAAACAATTAGATATGTTTTCGTGTATACATGGAGAAATATTTACCAGGTCATCAATGTTTGGTCATTAATATCAGTCAACAATTTGTTTACCAAAAAAACATTATTTCAGATATTAAGATTTCTACTTTGGAAAATACATTGTTTTATCAAAATAAGAATTAAAATGTGAGCCTTTTTTATTCAAGTAAAGTCCAAGGATTAGTAATAGTATCAAATAATTTATTTTATCATATTTACATCATTTTCTGATCAGTTTTATGAAATGAACTTATCAACATGGATTATTTCATCGGATAAACTAGTTACAAACATTGGATTCTAGCTTTCCTCTATCTTAGATATTAACGAATCATATTGTTGTTAAGTGTCAAGGTCAAATCTATTAGTAAACTAAATATTTTTTTTTTCTAAATTGCTTTAGATCAATATTCACTATCTGAATGATACTTGATATCTCGTTTTAAGTTTTATTCCTAATGACCTGAAAAATATTCTTTTATTAGAAATTGTGAATAAACTTTCATAGTTTTTCTTTTAAAATAATAAACTATGTAATCTATGGATAAATCGGAATAATATTGATTTCATGAGTATAAACCATTTCACTCATTAGTAACGTTCGAAAAAGAAATTGGATCGTCTAAATTTTTACATCTATATAAGGAAAAAGGTGATGAGTAATTTATTACATAGAAAGTTATGACCATTTTGATTCGGTTGAGGATTTTTTTTATCCGCCTCAGTAATTGTAACACTTTGTACTAAAGTATTTTCTTAGTTTTAAATTCAAAAATTTGAGTTGTCGTTGAGTGTATAAAGCTAATCAGAAAGAATGCTTAGTTGGAAATTTCATGAATTGAAGAAATTCGTAAGAAAGAAAAGGAAACTCAAGGTAATTCAATGGTATAAACATGACTCCCTTGTGATTATAAGTGAAAATCATCACTGAACATCTATGGTGGCTATTATTTTATTAAAACAATAAACTGAAAACAATAATTATATTCTAGAGGTTACATTATGCAATGACATACCAACGTCTACAGCTAACTGATTGTTTAAGACTAATTATTGTCAAATATGGTACTAGACTTCTTATCTTGATATCGTATTATAATTTCAACTAAGGTTTAGATAATGTAATGTTAACTGATTTGGGTTGACCTATATACGTACAGAACAAATTACCCCATTGTAGTGTTGAATAAATACACGTTAGTGTCTAAAATGGGTATATATACCTTACCTGAGATATCAAGTGTTTTAACAAAAATATTCTTTGTGATGAAGGTGTTGGCTGTTGACTTTAACATAAATATAATTACTAAAATCATTTTACATGATTTTCAACTGATAACTTGTAATAAAACCTCTCTTTCATGATTTTTTAAATAGTATCAGACATTAGTTCGTTAATTCGTTAATTTTTAATTCACATAATGCTTGTAATGCAATCAACTTTCTAATCTGTGTATCAAGTAGATGATCAATTTAATAAGTTTCGAATGTTCATTGTTTTGATGAGCAAATAAACTTCATTTAGCCATAATTTGACCACGATTAATGTCGTAACTGACTGGGAAACTATATCTGTTCAATAAGAAATGCATTTAGCAAAAATGGCTTTTGTGTACATTGTTTATGCTCCATTATCTCGTTGCGTTACTTTGTCAAATTTCTTATCGTCTAATCAAAATGTGAAACCTGTGATGGATGCCACTAATGAAATGAATAGTTTTACATTAACTAAAAATATCAACCATTATGTTTTAAACAAAACGGTTATTTCTAAGCCACAATTGCATACATGTTACTTTCTTTTTATTAATTATTTAGTCGGAGTTTTCTAGTTTACTCATTTTTCTCTTCTTATGGAATAATGAGGCAAAAATTAATGAGATTACCCTTTTAAAATAATATAAACTACAAAATGGATTGCTTATAAACATCTTGGAAATTTTAACTTAATTTTCATAATAAACAAGGAATGATTCAAAAAAGAAACTAACACATGATTGTAAACTTAATAAACAATACAAAAAGTTAATGTAATGCCTGAAACTAGAAAGAACACATTAAAACATAAAATTCAACCATTAATAATAGGCTTTTTCATTGTAAATATCAAGCTACTTATGCTTTCAAAATACTTAACATCTAATTCACCTGTAGTATTGCATTTGATATTTCATTACTTGACAATGTTTGTGCAATTTTGTTTTACTTATCTATTTAGGTAATATTTTAGATATGGAAGAGATTGTGCTTTTTAAAAAACGTGTCCGGCTTTAAATATCTCCTGAAAAAGATATGCCTCTAATGCATGTTATTAATGTTTGCCAAGATTTTATTTTATGTGGATCGAGTGATCTCATTGTGAAAACAGAGTTTAGTTTACTTTGATTTTGAATAGACAGATGACCTATCTACTTAAGTGATTAAAGTAGTACCAAGTTTCGTCTGGGAGGAAAAGAAAACATGAAATATCACAAAGTTCTGATAATCTCCGTCTTCTAATTACATTATCGAAATTTATAAAAGGGACTAATTGTTTTAAACATGAATTACTTATTACCAGAAATTCATAATCAGCAAAACGTTTTTTCTGGTTGGGAATACTCCACTCGTTTCACCTTTAGTGAATAAATTTACGCTGATCCAGGCACAACAAAAACAGTGCTTTATTGTCAATTGTTGTGACATGATAAGAGGTTATTTAGGAATTGTTTTAACTCTTTTTAAATTATTCTAGATGTTTTACATACAAATATTTATTCTGGATATCTAAGACAAATAGCGACGATAATTATTAGTAAATAAAGAAGGTTGAAATAAATAACTCGAGGGATCATATAATTCTAAGTGTTCAACTACCATATATATAGCATGCAAACCAAATATACATAGAAAAACAGGTAAACAGTGTAATTCTACTACTATGAGAATGAAATCAAAGCAAATGATTTTTGTATTCTATGAGTCGACCTAGTTTAATTACTAGCATTTCATCTGTGATAATGAAGTTAAGAAACACATTTTTTCATATGCCTTTTACAACCAATTTATCTATATGATAAAACTATTCGGCATCAAGAGTTCGTTGAAATGTCTGGGAATTCGGTAAAATATTTATTGTACATCAGTTATCGATTGAATTCTGATTATCCTTGATAAAAAATACCTTTCGAAACCTATCAGTATTACTTCTTGCATAGGTTCCTTTATATTCATTCTACCAGTTTACATAATGAGCTATATATATAGCACAACAGAAATCTATCGTTTTCACGATATACCGAATAGCTATCAAACAAAGAGTAAATAGAGTTTTAAAAACTTACAGTTTTACAATAAAAGGATGATTTAATTGCATTAGTATTGACTTTTCGTTCTTGACATGTTCTACCTGTTTCAGTCGTACCAATTCCTCGATTATCAACACTTTCAATGCATAGTATTGTTGTGAACATTTATCATGAACCACAATTACACGACCAAAGGTTCCTGTGCCTATAAAAGATATAAAAAAGTTCAAATTCATCTCTAGATCCTTCTGACGTGATAAGTTGACGTTTGCATTAATGAATTAGGTTTATATGTATCGTATATGTCGACTTTACCATTTTGGCTTTCAGTGAGTCTTAACACAATGAACTCTTTTAAATAATTAAGCTTAGTTTATTGTTTAAAGATTCATGCTGAAAACAACCCCGATTATTAACTGGTAATTTTACAGATATTTTTAACTGGGAACACTACGTTATTTAGCCATTTGTCTCACTCAGTTCATTTACATATCTTTTTCATTTCAGCAGTAAATTTGTCAATATAATGGCAGATGAACAAAGAGTCATGTAGATAAGCTAACTCGAGAGTGAATACACTAAGTGTTTCAATAACCAGCTACTTTAAACACTACATTCCATTCTACAGCATTCAGCAATACCATCTTGAATGTAAACTGTTGCATGTATTTTATCTTGAATGCCAGTAGGCCTTGTTTTACGACTGTTTCTATCACTGACAAGTACGAACGTCAGGAAGATTAATGTTTAAAAACAATCGTGACATTTTTTCTGTATGTTACAAAAAAATGGTCCCTTGTATGCATTCCAATGATCAGATATTTTCATTCCACGTAACCCTTTCTCTTTCTAGTTATAAACATTTCAGAAAAGTTATGGTACCAAAAGACGATAGATCTTAAGTATCATTTTGTGACAAATATATGAACAAGGTCATGAAAATCCATAAGTCATTATTTATTCAATTTAGTATAAATATGATTTTTTTCTATGAAGCAATCACATTATTCAGAGATTTATAGATGTTACTGAAAAAACGACTATTTATGTTACACAAATAAGAACAGTATAGTGTGATCGCTTTAAGATCTTAATAGTGAAATATCTGAAATGAAAAATACGATTAGTGTAACTCAAATTGGAACCAGTTATATATATATATATATATATATATATATATAACAATAATATCATAAATTGATGATAATGAAAACCTAAGCTATTTTCAGGACATTTTTAAAAGTTTTTCTTCAAACCCTATAATTAATAGATTGTAAATTCACTTCCTGGAAAAGTTAGTAATGGTTAATACAGAAACATCTTAAAAAGTATCAGTGACGTTTTAATGGATCCCATGTGAACTAAAAATACTGTCCGATTATTTAATATTATCTTGAGATTTAATTTTGCATCTGCTGTGTTACCGACTAACTAATATCTTTATAGGAACTATTGAGTTACTTCATTAAAATGAATCAAAACCAGTTTTAATAATTTTATGCTAAATTTTAAAACCCATTATGTAATTAATATAGAACCGTGATGGAAGAATACTTATTCGATTAACATATATTTCTAATGGATATTTAAAACAATATAAATTCTAATATTTATTGTGGTATCAAGGGTAATAAACTTCAAAATTATTTGTTCTCAATGGTAAATTTGAAGAGGATCACACTGGTCTATTAAGAATAATGTAAAATTGAACAAAGTTACAGTCATTGTGTATTAGCCTCATTTACTATCCCAAAGCTTAAATGATAGAATAATGACAATACATCAAAAAGTTTGTACACGATATACAACATAATGTAGTCATTAAACAATATGATTTAATGACCGTTGTGTTTGTATTACACTATGTTATGTACTTTTTCCTTTATATAAAAACAGTAAGTCGGATTAGTTCAGCGGTTTACAAATATGAACGTTATCTTCCATTAACTTGAATTATAATTTACTTTAAGACAGAATCAATAAATGTATACAAATCTATATGTAGCTGAGTAGATAACGCGATAGCGTTTGAAGCGAATGGTACTGGGTTCGAGTCCCAGAGTGAACATCAACTCTGAGATGCAGGCACATCCAGCTGACGAGCCGCAAATAAGACGAAACGCGCGTCCTAGATTCCACTGCTAGCCACTATCCATCATTGCTTACAATATAGCTTGTGAATTAAGGTAATATCGAGGCATACGCACAGTGTGCACATATGTCAATAACAGACTGATCAATTGCAGTCTTAAACCTCAATAGGAAGATACAAGCCAAACAATACCAAGTGAATATATGTAGTAGAGTTAAGCAACTTTTAATTCCCAATGAATAATTTTTAATATGTGTAAAACACTATCTTTTAGATGTTATTTAAACGAAATATTCTTTGATAAACTCCTTACGATAATGATAATTGAAATATCAAACGATCATAAAATAACAAATTTCATTAAAGACTATTTATAACTTTGAACTTCATATTATTCTAATTGTAGTCCTTTCAATTATTCAATTTACATACATCGTATTAATATAGTTACTTTAGAAACTTTTGAAATGTGATTAATAAACTATCAAAATTTCGTTTTTTCACATTTGTGAAAATACTTGAAATCTGATTTATTTACATAAAACAAAATAGTTCTCAGTTTTTCTTTTATTTTCTATGGTAACATAACTATTATTGTACTACATCACAATGATTTTTTTTTAATTTACGTTTATTTATATCACCATATGATTGTTCTTCTCTTTAATAGTTCATTATTATATATTTATGGGTAATTAGGTTTGAAATATGTTGTTCATAGCTAACATTAACTTATTTTCATTTATTTCATTATTTAACCATTTGTAATTTTTTCATTACCTCATTAACCGATAACAATTGCTATATCATTTACATTTAAAAAAACATTTTATTTAGTTTTATCAATTTTATTTAGATCTTTACTACTGATATATCTTGTTGTTGTTTGAATGCTACATGTTATGTCTGATCGTCGCTGATTGTTGTATTGGAAACTCTTATCACTTATAGTTGAAACATGGGACCTATACAACTATACCATGATAACAAGCGTTCTTATTAATAACTCCCAAAAACAAGAACAAAACAAACAGACAAAAAGAAACATTAAAAAGAAGAATATATTTGTAAAATCTCAGCGAATGAATTTTAAGTAAATCCAACGTTTCGCCTGGCAATCTGGTCCAAGCTTTTTCAAGGAAAATATAATCAAACAACAAAATTATCGAATATAAATAGGTACATGGTTCTTCGGTTTACTGTACACTAATATTAATAGGAGAGATGGAATACAACTAGCTGCACCATGGCAACTAATAATTAATAAGTAAACCTGATCTCCTTTTTGCCATTTGATATATTTATGCCATAGTAACTAATTGATAGATAATACGTTCAATGATTCAAATCCGTTATCTTATCTGAATAGGTTAAACAATTGACTGGAACATTTTAAAATAACACACTTCAATTACATATACATTCCTCGTTTATTTTGTTTACTTATCTTCATTTAATGCAGGCTGTAGCATTTTGATTCATTTCTTACATAAAAATGATTTGTTTTCTTAATATACACAGACCGTAGTCAATATTAAGTTGAATGAAATTTTTTTTTCTCATATCACTTGCGTATAAACACATTCTGTTATCTTAACACGTTTTGGTTCCATAACACATAAAAAACAATTTGTCATAACCTTGAATTTACCTTATAATCCTTAAGTCATTCTATGGCCTAGGATAACATGACAATTTCTTATTTTTCTCTCCCCTTGATTATTTTCAAATGAACTTTTATTTTATTTGTTTGACCTTTATTATTTTTCATATAAACATGTCTCTTACACATTAATACAAATACCTATCTATAAAGAAATCCTTCACGTCGATTGGATGACTTATTCAGTGTACAGTAAACCGAAGAACCATGTACCTATTTATATTCGATAATTTTGTTGTTTGATTATATTTTCCTTGAAAAAGCTTGGACCAGATTGCCAGGCGAAACGTTGGATTTACTTAAAATTCATTCGCTGAGATTTTACAAATATATTCTTCTTTTTAATGTTTCAAATTAACTCGGCGCCCAAATATTGTGAAACTATTCGTTCAAATTTAGACGAAAGTTCTTATTTATTATTTAGACAAAAAGAAAGTTTTGAAAGAGGAAGAATGAATTTGTAAAATCTTAGCGAAAGAATTTGAAGTAAATCCAACGTTTTGCCTGGCAATCTGGTTCAAGCTTTTTCAAATTCTTTCGCTGAGATTTTAACAAATACATTCTTCCTCTTTAATGACTCACATTAACTCGGCGCCCAAATATTGTGAAACTATTCGTTCAAATTTAAACGAAAGTTCTTATTTAAAAAGAAAGTTCATTTCTATAAATATGTTAAACATCAGTCGTTTTTTTAATAATTTTAATTTTGAATGATTACATAATGTAAACAATTAATAAGATCTTGGTAAAATATATTGGATTCATGTCTATTTTATTGTTATTTTTATTACACTTATCAAGTTCAATTGTTCAATTGTTTTATTATTTTTTATTTTTTAATGAATGTTTACAAAATACTATTTATAATAGGTTCAATGGAAACTTCTTTGAAAAAAATAATAATAACATAATTTAAGAAAACAGAAAAGTGATTTATTGATTTCTGATAGTTGATTGATTACAGGTATATTTCCAATATCATACTTTAAAATAATCAATCATTTTTTCTTAAAATATAATCTGATACTTAAAATTGAAAGATTTTTCATATTTGATTACTTATTCAATTAGTCAGTTACTCAATGTTTGATAGATATAAACTATTGACCATTCATCAAAATATTTTATTAGTTCCTTCCTTTTCTATTTTTGTTTTATATATTATGCAACGTAGCAACTATTTGATTTTTCAATAAGTAGTTTGATTATTATTAATAATCCTCTTGCTTTCAATTATTGTATGTTAATTTATGATCGATATGTCATTATATAATTATAAAGTATTGTATCTACTCGATGAATATTATTTCGACAGTGTAATTAAAAGACGAAGATTATCAGAATTATGTGATATATTAGCGCAATACATTTCGAACAATCTCATCACACATATACTTGTTAAGAGCATTTCTATATAAAAATAAAAGGTCAATTAGACTGGAAACGAGGT